CTGATCGCCCATTGATATGATAGCCATCGGCATAATTATACGGTCGGCAGCGTTGATGAAGTTGGCGCTCGAGCACAGACCTATCATCCGGTGAGTCTGAGCCAACATTTTGGCCACAATTTAATCGTCAGATAATCCACTCATAGATTGTTTACATTTCTTTATAAACCACTCATTGCTCTCAACATTGCAGACAACGATTGTATGGATAACAAGACAAAGTCTAACAAATATCACACTTCAATCATTTGTAGTCAATATTATAATCACATAATAAGTCAACTATTATTACAGTTATTATAATTACAACTCAAATGTATTAATTGTCTCACAAATCATAACACGATTTGTGTCTCACTTTCAGCTGACGTTTAATATTACGAAAGCTTTGAGTAGAGGTCGACACCAATACAGACACACCAGTCGTGTCTCTCACTGTCACTACATTTGCCACAAAACTCACGATTTAATTGCATTTAATTCACTAAATATTAACTCAATTTGTATTTGTATTGGACTCACAAACCATACAACAAACCATTAATTAGTGCCAAACGCCGTGTTGTGTATCCAATGAATGTCTAACTTATTGACTGTATGTCTGAGAAAGTGTTTTCAATGTAATCTCATATTTTATACTCATTTTCACAATTTATTAATCATTTTGTCATTTCATTAACACTTAAACCAAACCATTATTTCTTGTAATTATCCACAACTCAGACAAAAGTCTTAAAAAGTTGAGTCAAACCGTGTTATTGAGTTGTCGTACAAATCGTCTGACAGTGCAGTCAATGATGTCTTCAGCGAATGGTACAACCGATGGACAAACTGGGAGTCAGTTTGCGTTGAAGTCGAAGAATGACAAATTGATCTATAAGTACATTGTCTTAAACAATGGTCTGAAAGCCATACTCGTGTCCGACCCCACGTTCACCGCCGTTACGGACACAACAGATACCAAGTCTGTGTCCAGTGATTTGAGTGATAACTCGGACTCTGAGAGCAATTCCGATGACTTGACGGATGTGTCCTCTTGTGATGAGAAGGAGGAACCGATTGCACCGAATCTGATCCGTCGCCACAAACGGAAATCCAATTCCAACGAGAAGTTCGCGGCGATGGCTGTTGTCGTGCGCACCGGTAGTTTCGCCGACCCTAAAGAGATTCAAGGTTTGGCACATCTCGTCGAACACGTGATTACAATGGGTTCGGAAGAGTTTCCCGAAGAGAATGGTTTGGACGACTACCTGACCAGTCGGGGCGGGTATCAGAACGCGCACACGGAGTACGAGTACACGATGTTTGAGATAGAGGTTCATCGGAAGCACTTCTTCGGCGCTCTCCAACGACTCGCACATTGTTTTATACATCCCTTACTGCGTCCCGAATCTATTGATCGTGAGATAAAACCGGTGGACACGGAGTACATGTCAGCCCTTCCGGACGATGACGTGCGCTTAGAGCAGATATTTAACGGGTTGGCCAATGAGGGCCACCCTTTCAATGCCTTCCCCTGGGGTAACGCTCTGTCGCTGAAGACAATTCCCGAACAGAACGGAACGGAAACTCAAAAATATGTCAAAGAATTTGTCGATAAGTATTACACTTCGGATAATATTCATGTCGTGGTTCAGTCCCAAGAGTCCATTGAAATACTGGAACAATGGGTGACTGAACTCTTCTCTAGAGTCAAGCCATCGGTGGCTAACAATGAGATTAAGAATTCACAACAAGTGAACATAAAATATGACAAACCTTTCGATAATAACCCAAACTTTAATAAACTATATTTCGTGGAACCGGTCAATGAAATCGATCAGATCTTCTTCTACTGGTGTTTACCTCCAGAGGCGGCACATTACAGGACCTCTCCTATCCATTATGTCGGCAATATTGTGGGACACGAAGGGAAGGGTAGTTTGATATCATATCTGCGTAAAGAGAACTTAGCGCTGGAACTGATCGGCGGTATCGATGACTCCGGGTTTGCGAGCAACAAGTATTCGTCTATTTTTATGATTGCAATCAAATTAACAGATTTGGGGAATAAGAACATCGATAGAGTAGTGGAGTATGTCTTCGAATACCTCAATGTCTTGCAGAGAGTGGGACCTCAGGAGTGGTTCTTCGATGAGATGAAGCGAATCGAGAGGAATGCGTTCGACTGGCAGGAGGAACAGACGGCCATTAATTATGTGAAGAAGTTGGCCAACAATTGGAATCACTTGCCCACTCAATATGTCTTGTGTGGCAATAAGTACTTCGATTTCGACAAAGAACTCATCCAGAGTTACCTCAATCTCCTGACGCCAAACAACGCCTCATTCGTGCGTTTGTTGACAAATGTGTTGAAAGACCGCAAAGATATCAGAGTTGAGAACTGGTTTGGGACCAAATATGCGGTCAACGAAGTGCCACCAAAATGGTTAGCTTTTAAGAGCTATTCATCGACTCGTTTCCAATTCCCAAACCCCAACCCATACATTGCAACCGATTTTGAGATCAAGAAAGTCAGTGGTTGTGATGGGAAACCCTTACATCCAACCAAAGTGTTGGATAAAAAGAGAGTAAAGCTATGGTATAAATCGGATAATAAGTTCAAACTTCCGAAAGCAGTGTTGAAACTGCATCTCATATCTCCATATTTTGGTGATTCCGTTGAGAGCGCTATAATGATTGATCTCTTTGTCGAGATTCTGATGCAAAACCTGAGCGAAGAGGTATACGACGCCTCTTTGGCCGGTCTTTACTGGAGTTTATCGCAGACGACCGCAGGTCTAGTGATAACAGTCTCCGGATTTAACCACAAACTCAATCTCTTACTCGAATGTATTCTAAACAAAATGATTAACTTTTTCGTCGAGGACAAAGTGTTTGATGACATGAAGAAACACTTGTCCAAAGAATACCACAACTCATTCATAGACGCCAATAATCTGAATATGTCTCTACGGCTAACGATTTTAAGCCAAAAGTACTTCCATTTCGTGGACCGAAGAGATGTTCTCAACTCTATTAACAAACAAACTCTTGAAACGTTTGTTTCGAAATATTTCTCTAATTTCTATATCGAAAGCTTAATTCAAGGAAATATGACTCGAGAAGAATCGGTTGCTTTAATGACCGAAATAGAGAGCAGATTAGGTCTGGACTCACATATTGAAAGCCTGGAAGAGCCCAAACTGATGACGGCTCAGATCCCACCGGGAAATGGCTTCTGTCGAGTGGTGTCTCTGTCGCCAACCAATCGGAACTCTTCGGTCACTAATTATTACCAATTAATTCCAGCCAACATTCGGCTGCAGTGTATGCTATCAGTGCTGTCGTCCCTCATGGAAGAGCCCTGTTTTAACATATTGCGGACCAAAGAGGGTTTGGGTTATTACGTGTCGGCCACTGATTACGACACGTATGGCATCAGTGGCTTTGGAGTGACGGTCGTCTCGTCTGGCAATGAGTTTGACTGCAGTTTCGTTGACCAGAGAATCGAGAATTTCATTAAACAAATGATTGACATCATAACCAAAATGGATGGCAATAAATTCAAAGAACACATCCACTCGATTATCACATCGAAAAAGGTTCCCGATCTTAAACTCGGCGATGAATTCAATCGCAATTGGAATGAAATTATTTCTTTCAACTATTGTTTCGATCGATTGGATAAAGAGGTTAAGTGTTTAGAAAAGGTAATCCATTTGAATCCGATTGATGAGTGCCTATACTTATGACCACTTCATTACATTCAGATCACATTCGATGAGTTCAAGGAGTGGTCGTGCAATCAAATCCTCGCAAACAAAACAACTAACAAACGAAAGCTTAGTATTCAGGTAATGAGTCTCTTAATACTCGTGAGAATTACCCGCATTTGTGGTCATCTTTATAATGCAATGTTTGTTGTATCGGTATTTGTGTTTAGATTGTGGGTTACGGCAAGAAATCATTGGCTGAATGTCTGACTTTTGACGGCAAAACTTTGGACCTCAAGAAAGA